CTTGCCTGCTGAAAGTAAAGAACTTGAAGCACTTACTGATGAAGATAAAAGACTAGAGCCTTCAGTTTGGACTACATTAACATAAAGAAAACAAAAATCCTTACAACCGGACCAAGCCTCAAGCATGGCAACGACTGTGGGGATGGCACAGGACTGGGTATCCTTTCGTTCTGTTGTACACAGGGTTGCTATGAGTCAAAACGGACTCAACAGCACCTAACAACAACAACACAGACTGCTAAGAGAATGAACAAATCTGTCTTGGAAGAAGTACAATCAGAATGTTCCTCAGAAGCAAGGATGGTGATCCTTTGTCTCACGTATTTTGGACATGTAATCAGAAGGGACCAGTCCTTGGAGAAGGACCTCATGCACGGTAAGGCAGAGGGTCAGCAAAAAAGAGGAAGACCCTCAAGAGGATGGATTGACACAATGACACACAAAGATGGACTGACCCCAAAAATGGGGTTGAACATATCAACAATCATGAGGGTGATGCAGGACCGGGCAGTGTTTTGTTCTGTCATACATGGGGTCACTATGAGTCAAAGCCAACTCCACAGCCCATAACAAGAACAAAAACAAGTCCATTACTTCCAGATTGTGCTCTCGAAGTTCATCATGAATACAGATTTTGAGGGCTTAAAGAACAAAGACAAGCTTTACACCCAAAAAGGACTGAAACCCGGAGTGAAACTCTCTCCTTCCCACACCTTTACATCTTCTACAGCAAAAATAGATCATTAAAAACTCTGCATGATAATGTGATGTTAGGCTTATATACTGTTGTAATCCTTCAAAACTGATAGATTGTCGGAACACAGAGCACATGAGTATGTTCTTTATTTTAAGCAGTTTAGATTGAATATTTTTAATGAGTTTCTTTAGGTTATTTCCTCTTGTGTGTGAAAAACACTAACTGAGGTAGAATTTAGTAAGAATCTATGTAAGAGGAAGGTCTGGAGATAGAACACAGTGTATATAATGTTAGCATTCTCAAGCAAACTGTAAAGTCCAGCTCAACCCCTAAAGTAACCTGACAGGACCAACCCTGTTTCCCTGAAAGTCAACTTTCTTCCCAAGAAAATTCAACTGTAACCCTTTCAAAAGCACCAGAGCAATTTAAGTGATTATTCCTTCTGGATGAATGAATGGATAAGTAGTTACTTAGAAAGGTGGGAAGCAAATATTTATAGTTGTTGAGTTAGTTTTAAATCTATATAAAAATGGGATAAAAAGGTGTAAGTCTCAGTACAGCAGACATTTTTACTGGAAGATTTTTCACTAAAAACTCTTTAGGATATGGATGTGTAAACCAGGAATAGAAGCTAAATGCTAGACTGCCCTTTTTATTTATAACATATGAATTAAACATGAGATTTCCATTATTTTAATAATATTTAGTTAGACTTCAAAAGTTTATTTGCAAATTGCGAAATACAGGAAAATTGCAACTATTATCATTGTATCTTATAAAACATATCCAAATATATAAATATATTTAATTCCTTCTAGGGCTTTGGGACCAAGGAGTGTAGTAGATAAAGAAGTTTCGCTGCTAACCAGGAGGTCAGCAGTTCAAATGCATCAGCCACTCTATGGAAGGAAGACGGGGTGATCTATTTCCGTAAAGATTTACAGCCTTGGAAACCCAAAGGGGGTCACTATGAGTTGGAATTGACTTGCTAGCAGTGAGGTTTTTTTTTTTTTTTTTGAGGGCTTTCAGAATGTCATTTATAATGGCTAGGAAACACATTTTTCAAATAGAATTTAAACAGTATTAGTTTTGCTAAAATGTTTTGCTCTGATGTACCTTAAATGACAGCAAAAGAAAGGCAGAAAAGGAAAGAAAGGAGAGAGGGAGATACATGGGATGGAAAGCAAGCAGGAAGTAAAATCTGATTGTTTATGAAATACTAGTTTAAGATCTGGAGTGACTTAAACAATGTTTTAAGCAATTAGCACCATGCTTGAGCCTGGGTCCCTAGGTGGTGCATGGTGAATACATTCAGCTGCTAACTGAGATGCTGGCAGTTCAAGTCCACCCAGAGATGCCTCAGAAGAAAGACCTGGTGATCAACTTGCAAACAATCAGCTATTGTAAATCTTATAGAGCACAGCTCTACTTTGACACACATGGGGTCACAATAAGTCAGAATCAACTTGATGGCAACTGGTTACTGTCTATGTTCTAGACAAGGGCTTGTCAAACTTCTTCAGTAAAGGGGCAGATAGTAAATATTTTAGGCTTTATGAGCCATACAATCTCTGTTGCAACTACTCAACTCTGCCACCATAATACAAAAGGAGCCACAGACAGTACAAAAACTAGGTGTGGTTGTGCTCCAACAAAGCTTTGTTTACAAAAACAAGTAGTGGGTCAATTTGACCAGCAGGCCATAGTCTGCCAATGCCTGCCCTAGACACAGGCTTGCATAGTGTCTCTGCAATATTTGGGGCTGGCCAGGAAGTCATCAGTGTCACACAGATAAGAGGTTTATGCACTCTGTCCATCTGAAAATTACGGCCTTGGGATTTAAGCTCACTCATTACAAAAGCTAACAAAGTAGTTGTTCTTTTAAGTACAAATGACCTATGGCTTTCTCCACAAAGTAGTCCAAATTAGTGATACCGTTATTAGCTGTTGGCAGTGACAAACAACTTCCTATTACATATGCACTGTCTTCCTTCTATTCACTATTTTATAGCAATAAAAAGTTGAAGGTAAGTAACCATGTTCAAGGAAATTTTGTAGTCTTTCATGAAGCTACATAAATATATAAGGATTTTAAAGCTGTTGGGATGTCTCTATCAGAAGTGGTCATCTAGGTGTAAGGCCGATGGGCGGCCCTTCCTTCACAAGGGCATTGTCTTTGTAAGCAGTCAACAATCTCTCCTCTCTTACAAAACTCTCATTTGAGATTCAGCTTATCTTACTACTGAGAGGAAGGGGCTTGTCTGGAAGTTAATGAAGACAATCAGACTGTGAACTATATTCAGAGCTCATGAAATATTACAAATTAGAGATAAAGGTATTTCATTAGCTGGATTCATGTTACGAGTTTTTCAAAAGTCCATGTAATTTCAAAACATATCAATTCAAAAATTGGAAATAGAGGAAAAAACACTAGGGGAAAAGCACAAAATTTCTTTGGGGCAAGAGGAAAAGTAGGGAGACCACATATGGTAAATGAGTTTATTGATTCATTACAAGTAGTCCTCCTCTCCTTATCTCCACCACCTCCCAGGGGTGGAATGTACTTCCTCACACCTTGACTTTGGAACTGGCCATCTTTTCTTTGGCCCATGAAATGTTAGTGGGCATTGTTGTGACCACAGGCTTGAAACGCCCTTCTGCAACTGGGCTTGCTCTCTTGTGCCTCTGCCATCACCACGAGAAGACTAGGCCCCTTTTCAAAGAGGATGGTGGACAGGGGGAGCAGACACCCAGCTGGGCCAGTTGACTCCTAGGGAACCCTCAGACACCGGAACAGCTGGCAATAAAGGAGGTTGGCAAGCAGGATCCCAAACGTCACTTGGAGGAACATGAGGATGTACTTATGACTTCAAAATATTGTCCAGTGTTTAGTAGCTATGTTGGATACTGTCGTGTTTAAATAAAGCAATGTAAAAAGCTGTCAGTGATCATTTCAGTGTATATTCCTCTATTGTTCTTAATACTCAAAATCAAGGGACCTCTGAAGGTAGATTTAGTTAAATGTAAGACATCTGGCATCATTTGCAGCACTGTAACACCTTCAGTCTCAGTTGTGCAATTACTTCTGTTTCTTTAGTCAGGGTCTTTGCAGATTCCAAAATTGTACAAGAATACACCAAAATGGACAAATTTTGTTAAGTTCCCATTTAAAATTTGAATATATCAGTAGCACAAATGTATTTTGATTGCTGCTTACAAAATAAAATATGTTTACAAAATAAATAAATATATGAAAATAAATGTTTATTGCCATATGTCACTCATGTTCTATGGTTATTATCTAGCACTTTTGTAGCAAAAGCTAACTGATAAAGCCAGCAGATGACATTTATTAATGTCTCTTCTAGATTGAATGAGAATTATGTCAAGAGTTAGTTTTTAATGTAGGCTCTATTTTAATCCTAGAATAAGTTGAATCTAAAACCAAGATGGCAAACTGGTAGTCTGATACTGTGTTTTCTTTGCTCTGTATGCTGCTGGCATACATTAAACACAGACACACACATACACACACACAAATGCCAACATGTAAGGGAATCTAGAGATTTCTTATAAAACTCTGAATTTCAGGTTCTCCTAAAAGATTGTGCCACTCTGGCAGGGCTCCACATTTTTGGGGAGTAATAGACAAGAAAATGCTGAAGCTGAATGGTCAACTGTCCCTTTTGAGACGGGACATGCATGTTGCAGGTCATCATCATCCCTAACACTTTGCAACGCTTAAACACGAGTGCTATCTGTCACTCATTATAGCTGGTGGACTACTGTATTTTGTATAATGCTTAAATGAAAAAGTAGATAATTTAGGTTTTCTTTTAAAATTAAATCTTAACTAATTTATCAAATGCTGTAGTTTTAAAACTCATCAAGCCATGATATGAGCATGGAAGATTTATGTATTTGTGACATTATTTTCCCTGTGGTTTAACCTCTTGGAGCTAAAAGTTTTAGTTGTTTCTGACTAGCCTCTCGAACTATCATGCTCAGGTATTTAAATCTTGGATTGCCAAGGTTGAATGGAATTTTGGTAGCTTTTCCAGAATGCTTCATGGATTCTGATTTAATGTCTTTGGTTCAGTGCCAATTTAAAAAGTATTACAGCTGAGTCAGGTAAATATTTTTGAGGTAATGAAAGAATTACAGAATTAAGAAAAGTTTCTGGTCACTCTGACAAAGAATTGTTCCCCATTATATTTAAATATGGGAGCAGAAGTCCATTTGAAGTCTTAGATAGACAAGAGCATACATCCATTTGGAAAGTGCTACATTCTCTCTTCATTACCTGGGAAACATGTTGTCAGGTGTTCCATCAGTGCTTCTTGGGTGACAGGTTTTCTTGCTGAGTTCATTGCTGAGATGGCCAAGCAAAGGATTTCCCCGAGTGGAATAAACTGAGATTGACTGATGGGAGACATACTGATTGGTGATACATCACCTGCAGAAAGACAATTTTCAAATGAGTGATTCATTAAAAGCCTCAGTCATTTGTCATACACATACCTCACACATACACACACCTCCCATGACTATCACCTATTCCTTGTATTACGAATGCAATCAACTCTAGAAACTTTAAGTTTGTTATATCCACAGCCAATTCCATTCAGGCAGAAACACTTTCATAAGACAGTTAAGGATCCTACTGCCTTGACGAATAAAACTTTCCTTTAAAATCTGAGATCTCATTTAAATAAACAAAGTACCAAAAGTCAAGCAACAATGAGGCTTTGAAAAATGATTTAGTCTCTTTTTTAACTTGGAGATGATTTATTTAATAACTGCCATTCACATCTTGACAAATGCATTTGTGACTTGTGACTTGATGATTCATTCATTCAAATGCTTAATGCCCTCTAATGCCAGACTTCTGCTGGGGGCATGCAAACCAGAGGCAAGAGTCAATAAGACCCCCTTAAATTGCTGCCCTCACAGAGTTTGTATTTAACTGGAGGAGACAGACAAGTAGATCAGTGTCTACAGTACTGGGTGACAAGTGCCACCAGAAAGGATAACACAATAATCTCTAGAACAGAGGGAGACGGGAGTGTAGCACTACCTGGGGGTGAGCGGAGCTTAGAAGCAGGAAGTATAGATTACACAGGACCCATAACCTGAATCTACTGTTGAGGAGCACCCATGTGCCTGGTGACTTGGGGAGGGGGGGAGGTGAAAGACTGAGGGGATGGAAGGGCCTGCATGGAGGTGTTTCTCCAATGGCACGGGTACAGGAGGAGGGGGACAGGTATGTAGGAGCAACCACAAAGCAAGAGCTGTGGGCCCAAGGTTTTCATTCCCTGTAGGGGATGGTGAGCCACGGAAGGAATCTAAGGAATGACAAAATTAGAGGTGAATTTCAGAAAGATGACTCTACCACTCTGGTGGCAGAGTGTCAAGTAGGCTGGAGAAAGTGATAGAGGGGCAGACGACAATTCCCTAAGAGGCTGCATATTAAAGGAAAAGGCAGGAGAGGCTGAAGACCCAGGCACAAGGGTGTGACTCATAGTGGATCTTGAGGTATAAACATGCAATGTAAATATGTCTTCACTTCTGCAGTTTTAAGATCATGGCTCAGTGATTTTCAAGTTTTGCCCCAAGGAGCCTTAGAATTCCTAGAGATTTCTGGGACTGAGGTGGGCCCAGCTGAGAGAGAGAGAAAAACTGGAAGGGCAGAGGAGTCTGTTTCTGACACCTGCCTGTCACCTATTTGATACTTTGGGGATCTCTAAGATTTCACTTGAGGAAAAAAAAAAAAGAGTGTGAAAACTCACATCAGAGTACCTGAGAGCACTATACTTATTTCTCATATGTACTTACATAATTTCTCCTTTATTGTTTCCTAAGAATGATTGTGGTGGTTGTTGTATGTGCTGTCAAGTTGGACCCAACTCATAGCAACTTGACTGCTAACCAGAAGGCTGGAGGTTCAAACCCACCAGCCACTCCTTGGAAGGAAGATGGGGCAATCTACTTCCGTAGTGATACCGCCTCAGAAACCCAAAAAGGGGTCGCTATGAGTTGGTCTGACTCGACAACACATAACAACATCACTACGGAAGTAGATTGCCAACCTTCCTTCCGAAGAGTGGCTGGTGGGTTTGAACCATCAGCCTTCTGGTTAGCAGTCAAGTGCCTTAGGCACTGTGTTACCAGAGCTCCCAGATGGAAGCTAGAACATCACATTTTGGGCTATTATGTGGATGTAAGTTTCACTCAGCCATGATATTTTCAATCCCCTTATATGCATGTGAGAGCTGGACAATGAATAATGATGTGTGAAGAAGAATTGATGCATTTGAATTATGGTGTTGGCAAAGGATCTTGAGTATACCATGGACTGCCAAAAGAACAAATAAATTTGTCTTGGAAGAAGTCTAGCCAGAATGGTTCTTAGAAGCAAGGATGGAGAGACTTCATCTTACATACTTTAGACACGTTATCAGGAGGGACCAGTCCCTGGAGAAGGACATCAACTTTGGTAAAAGAGAGGGTAAGTGTAGAAAAGGAAGACCCTTAATGAAATAGATTGATGCAGCAGCTGCAACAGTAGACCAAACATAGCAATGACTGTGAGGATGGTGCAACACTGAGCAGTGTTTCCTTCTGTTGCAAACAGGGTCACTATGAGTCAGAACTGACTCAACAGCACCTAGTAACAACAAAGTCCCCTCAGCTGGTATAGCTTGATTCCTCCTGAAGACTCTCAACAATGACAGTGAGAATTATGAGGGACCATCTCAGTGAACAATTTTGCTGTGGCCCAGAAAAGTGCATTTAAGCCTTTTATTAACTGCCGCATTCTTTGTTCAAACAAGATCTTATTCTAAAGCCTAATGTATGCAATATGAAATGGTAGTAGTGGTGAGCTGCAATAAAGATGGGAGCTTGGGTCCTGCTGCTCAGCCACAGACACCTTAAGGGTCTTGTGGTTCCTTTTCTCTCACTCTGCCTGCAGTGGAGTGAGGGACATTGAGGCCAGAGTGTTTGATGAGCTGCTAGGTTAGTCACATATACTTCAAAGTCACCTACAATGTCTTTAAAAGACAGATCAAGAGGAAGATGGGGATCAACTGGCAAAGGGAGAGATCAAAGGAGATTCCAGAACCCTTCAACCTGTGTATCACTAGGGGAGTTAGCAGCTAATATTCACCTTTTAAAATTTGTCTGTTATAACTAAAAACTTTTCAAAAGCATAGACACAAAAATATTATTTTTAAACATGTAAGTCTGGCTTCTGATTTTGTATAGATTAAAAAGGAGAATTTGAGCACTCTGTAAAAAAGAAATGACTATTATTAGCAAAATTAATTAGTTTAAATCAGCCTTCTTCTTATACTTTTAGCTGAAATTATTTGTTTGGTGTAACTGTCATCTTCTTAATTTTTTTTTTCATTCATTGTAATAAGGCAGCATGCCTTAAGTGTGTCTGAAGTACATTTATTTTTAAAAAGAAATGGAATCTTGATCTTCAAAGTAACTATCTCCATGTCACCTCATCTCAATACTGCATTGAGATAAATTTATTTTCTACCTTCTTACCACCTCCAACCCCATCAGCATCCTGTCTACTCTATGTCCAAATATTCTTGGACCTTTCTCTTGACTCCACCTCCAGTGCTAATCCCCTACTCCAAACCATGTCACCTCTTGCTTGTTTCTTTATAATGGCTTGAACTCTTAGCCCCTACAATCCCCTTTCCCCAGAGCAGCCAAGGTCTTAACTAACTAGTTGCTGTCAGGTCAACTCTGACTCATGGGGACTCTACATATAGAACTATGCTCCACTGGGATTGCCAGGCCTTTCTTCTGAGCTGCCTGTGGAGAGAGGTGAACTTCTAACGTTTTCGTATCAACCAATCACATTAACCATCGCACCACCTAAGGACTCAAGTTTTCTTAGAAAAATATATAATATGCCACTTCCCCACAGAAAATCCTACAGCAACAATGCAATCTGAACTTCTTTCTAGGCTGGCAAGGGCCGGCAGGGTCTGAGCCTCTCCACTTACCTCACATCTCACTGTTCTCCTCCCTTCCACTTACCCCTTCTGATTCCATATTCACAATTCTCCTGCTGTTGTTTGTACACACCAAGCTCTTCTCAGGAGCTCTGGTAGTGTAGTGCCTATGGCACTTGACTGCTAACCAGAAGGCTGGTGGTTCAAACCCACCAGCCACTCCTTGGAAGGAGGGTTGGGCAATCTACTTCCATAGTGATACTGCCTAGGAAACCCAAAGAGGGGTCACTATGAGTAGGGTCTGACTTGAGGCCACATAACAACAACAACAACAACAAGCTCTTCTCAACTCAGGATCTTTATCTTTCTTGTGCCATTTGTCTGGGATGTTTCTGGCACAGATCTTTGCAAGACTGGCCTCTTCTCATCCTTTGTGTCTAAATTTAAATGTTGCCTTCTCAGCAAGACCTTTCCTAACCACCAACCTAAGGTTGTTGCCTCACCACAGAGCAAACATTCTCACATTATCTTAGCTACTGTTTTCAGAGCACCTAACCTGGTAGCATAGTGGCTAAGACACTTGCCTGCTAACCAAATGGCTGGCAGTTCAAACCCACCAGCCACTCCACGGAAGGAAGGTTGGGCAATCCTACTTAGGTAGTGATACTGCCTTGGAAACCCAAGGAGGGGTCGCTATGAGTTGGGTTTGACTCGACAGCACATAACAACAACAACAACCATACTCAGAGTGTGTGCATATGTCTGTGTTCACTGGTTTATCGTCTGTCTCCTCCACTAGGATACAAGCTCCATGACAGAAGGAAATATGAATGCCACAAACCTCTCCATGCTCCCAGAGCCTAGAATAGTGCAGAGCTTATAATGCACATCCAATCAATGCTTGTTGAATGAATGAATATCCATTTATAACATTCTAATCAAGGAATTTCTTGGGGCATTTTAAAGGATTGTGATTTTATTCTAAATTGCTGAATAATTGGAAAACAAACAAAAATTATAACACCAAGAATGCTTAGCCATGAAATTTCTGTGACTCCCTCCCCCCATTAATTTCATGAATAACAGGCCCCCAAAGCAGAGCAGTTACCACAGGAAAATATTTATATATTAAGGTAAGATTTAGAACATTCATTTAAAATCTGTATTACAGGTATCATAGGACTCTCTCAACACAATATTATTCAGGTTTACCATGATTTTCTATGGATCTTATATTAGACCTGCTTAAAGAGCCAACTAGTTATTTTTCAAATATTCTACTAAAAAATCCTTCCAACAACTGGACCACATGTATGGCCAAAGAAGAAAACAAGAGAATGCAAATATTGCTAAAATAGTGTTGGTCACCATGATCTATATATAATCATAGAAATTACCACATTTTGCACAAACTATGAATTATAACTTACCTTTCCATAATTTATAGAATAGATTTTTCCATCATCAGAATTTTTTTCTG